CACAAAGAAGAGGAGAGATTGCTTTTCTCTAAAAATTTTTTCTTGAAGCCAAAGAGCGAAAAGAAATAGGGGGAATTGAAAGAGAGAGCCTTAGAGAGATTTTAAACTTTGAAACAATGGACCTCATACTCTTTCTTTGCAAAACCCCCAACTTTTTTGAAAGAGGGGAAATGGTTTTTTTTTTAATATGAAAAAAAAGAAAATTTGGGAATAGTCCCCCCCCCCTTTCCTTTTTGCAAGTTTGAACGTTTGGAAAAAGATTTTTTTTTTGCTTTTAAATGAGCAAATGAAGTTTTCCTGATTGTTTTTTTTTTAAACTAACCGAGGCAAAATGCATGGTTTTTTTGCAATTAAAAAGGGCCTGTTCAAACCACAAAAAACATTTAATATTTTTTACCATGAAGGTTTTTTTGGAGATAAAAGGTTTTTCAGTTTTAGAAAATAGTGGGTAAACTTTATATCAAGAAACAGCACGCTGGTAATTAATATCAAAAACCTGCCTTTTTTAAAAGAAATCGGAAAATGGCTTTTTTTGCAGAATTTCATTTAATAGCTAAACCACCAGAATAATTTCCCTCAAAGTATTTTTAAATGAAAAAACGTGAAGAGTAAAGATTTTTTGGCCTTATATCCTCTTAATAAATTTTATTCCCAAAAACAATTTCAAAACAATTTTTGAGAGAGAATAAAATAGATTTTTTGGTTGCTTATAAAATTAATTTACTCTCTATCCTTAACAATACTTTTCCCTAAGGACTTATTAATAATACCTAACCATAGAAAATATCTTCATTAAATCTTCATGGTCTTCAAATAAAAAATCTGGGATGGTTAGGAACCTCTCATTTCTTCAAATAAATTTTAAACATAATTTCTGCAATAAAATAATATTTTAGCACATGCAAGAATATTAAATTTATTTGTTTTGTAATATCATCAAAATCTCAAGATAAAATTGACCCTTGAGCACAAATAATATGGGTTTCTACACTTGCTGACCATCTATTAAGACCCTATGGTATCATTGAAGATGTACCTTGTTAAGGTTGCAATGTTTATTTTTTTCCTACTAGATTTTGTCAATACTTGAATTTTGTTTATGATGAATTGTCATCTTATTTTAAGGAAGACCATTTATGACAGCAGGGAGGGCATTAAATTGATGTTTCAGAAGGAAAGTTAATCCTTTAGGATAGGTGTGATGTCATTGAGTTTCATATAGACAAAGCTATTGAAATATCCTATGGATGGAAAGGTATTGCATGAGAATTGATTTAGTTGATGCATGTGCACAAGGAAATTTTTGCTTTTGGAAAGTAATGATAAATATAAAGAAAATTGCAAATAATGACGGAGAGGATTTTATAAATTTTCAAGACCTGAAATGGTTTACTTAGAGAACACGGAGCCTTTGCCTCCATCACTTGAAAGTCCACCAATAGTAGACCTTAAAGAGTTTTAGTCATCTACAATATGTGGTTTCTTAGGTGAAAACACACAATTCCTATAATTATTTCTAAGCAAATTAACTATAGATCAAGAAATGACTTTGGCCTAAAAAATTGTTAGAATAGGTTAGAGTAAGGATGGCAAATTTCTGCATTTAAGGGGATAGTCAATATCGAGTCATGCATTACATCAATCTTGAAGATGGACATATACCTAAGGCAGAAAGACAAAGGAGACTTAATCCTAATATGAAAGAAGTAGTGAAGAAAGATATTATTAAGTTGTTAGATGCAGGAATAATATACCCAATTTCAGATAGCCAATGGGTTAGTCCAATTCAATGTGTGCCTAAAAAGGGAGGAATGACTGTAATAAAAAACGAAAATGGTGAACTAATCCCTGCTAGGACCACTACAGGTTGGAGGGTATGTATTGATCATAGGAAACTCAATTCAGCTACAAGAAAAGATCATTTTCCATTACCATTCATAGATCAAATGTTAGAAAGAATTGCTGGTCATGCTTTCTATTGTTTTCTTTCTATTGTTTTTCCTCCGATGGATATTTTGGAAATATTTTCAGATTTATATCTTTCCGAATGACGCAAGGAGAAAAGCACATTTACTTGTCCATTTGGTACAACTTTGCATATAGAACGCATGCCTTTTGGGATTATGGAATGCACCTGCAAACATTTCACAACGTTGCATGACCGCAAATTTTTACTGACTACATAGAGAAATTATGGAGGTATTCAATGGATGACTCTTCTGTTTAATGGTGATTTCATTGAAAGTTGTTTGAAAATTTAGATTAGTTTGTCAAAAAGAATGTGAAAGTGCTAACTTTAGTTTTTAAATTGGGAGAAATGCGCACTTTTATGGTTGATGAGGGGCATTGTTCTTAGGCACAAAAGATCTCTCAAAAAGGGATTGAAGTAGACAAAGCCAAAATCGAGGTAATTGAAAAACTACCTCCTCCTAACTCAGTGAAAGGAATAAGGAGCTTCCTTGGTCATGCAGGATTCTATAGAAGGTTTATCAAGGACTTCTTGAAAATCACAAAACCTCTTTGTAATTTATTAGTTAAAGATGTTGCTTTTGATTTTGACAAAGAGTGTTTAGATGCTTTTAACAGGTTAAAGAAGGAATTGATCTCAGCACCTATCATCACAACACTAGACTGGACTCTTCCCTTTGAACTTATGTGTGATGCTAGTGATCATATGTTGCTGTTGGTTGTGTTTTAGGACAAAGACATGATAAGCAATTGCATGTGATATAACTATGCTAGCCATGGTTTAAACTAGTACTCAAATGAATTATACACTACTGAATGAGAAAGAAATGTTGGTGTGGTATATGCATGTGATAAATTTAGATTCATATTTGTTAGGAAGCCCAAAGTCATAAATCTATACTGATCATTCTGGCAGTTGAAATAACTATTTGCTTAGAAAGATGCAAAACCGAACGTCTTATTAGATTGGGTATTATTATTGCAGAGAATTTGACATTGAAATCAGTAGATAAAAAGGGTTCTGAAAATTTAGTTGCTGATCCTTTATCATTTATCACGTCTGGAAAATGAAGAAGGACCAATAGGAGAATCTACAGTTATAAATGAAAATTTTCCTGATGAAAATTTAATGTTAGTACAACATGTTTTCACACCTTGGTATGCTGACATTGCAAATTTTCTAGCTTCTAACATAATACCTCCAGATATGACTTATGCACAACGAAAGAAGTTCTATACAGATGCTAAAAATTTCTTATGGGATGAACCATTCTTGTTTAAGGTGTAAGCTTTATCTGGGTGATAAAATTGATGATCCACCACAAGTAACATTTTGAATCAACGCAATAGGTATGTATAATATCAATATCCACTTACATACTATGTTTATTATAAATTACTATTTTATTATTTAGTATTATTATTATAAAAAAAAAGAACTCATCAAAAGTCAAGTGTGCAGGAAAGTTTATTTTTGCAGGGAACAGATTCGCGAGCGCGACTGCAAAAGGCGCGAGCGCGATTGTTGTAAAAAAGAGACAGAAGGTTTTTAATCAACAATCGCGATCGCGAAAATATAAAGCGCGAGCGCGAGTTCTCCACCAAAGAAGTCAGAAACTTTGAGATCCCCTCTTGCGATCTCAAGAATGAAACTGCACGAACGCGAGTTCTCTGCTAAACAAGTCAGAAGCGTTGAGATCTAGTTTCGCGATCGCGAC